GGGGTGGGGCTTCGCCCCTACCCGAAGAATTGTATGCAAGAAACTCTTCACGCAAACCATTTAGATTAGACAACATTTCCTTTTTTTCAATGTTTACGCGATAATCAATGACGTCATTACATTACTGTGTGCACTCTCTGGTTTGAGATTATGTTCTACTCTACGCTAAATGTGTCGACGTCATATTTCGTTTTTCGAATTACTGTGCATGTTTTTAAATTCCTTATGTTTTCTCTAGAGCGTTCCTTTTTTTCTTATGTTTTCTCTAGAGCGTTCCTTTTTTTCTTATGTTTTCTCTAGAGCGTTCCAGAGCGTTCTTGTCAGATAGATAGATACACAGACAGCGAAACTATTATTATAGATATATATATATATATATATATATAGAGTCCTTTCATATGACGTCACGTCCGTTCGTGATACCTACGCCCGCCGCCACAGTGGTGTACACCAGACGTAAACACAATCAGCTGTTCGCCAGCGCTGGACGTGTTCACCAGCGCTGGACGCGTTCACTGTACTGTATGTAAAGAACCGCACCCGCGGAAAAGGGAAAAATACGTTAAAAAACTTGAACTCTTAGGAATTAAAGATCCTTATACTGTTATTGACAGTTTCGTATAAATAAATATGTGGACAAAATTTCTAAATAAAAATACTGTTAGTAATAGTGTTTGCGTTTAGAGTTAAAGTAGCCAAATCTGATCAAATGCAGTTCTCGATACTTTGTTTCAGGTAAGGACAGTAAAATAATAAACTTCATTTTAATTATAAAAGATAACTATTAATAAAATAAATATGCTCGACCTTCACAAATACTAATAGTAAAAGACAAAGTCAAAAGTAATAATAAGAATAATAAGATCTAATAGTAGGCCTAATACCTGGCTCCGCTGGGTAGACATAGAATCTAGAATCTACTTCTTTACTTAAATTTAATTACTTTAGATCTACATTCGATTCAAAATACACCCATAATAAATCAAAAGTAGTCATAATAGGCCTAATAAAGCATTTAATTGTCTCTAAGATCTAAAATCTCGCTCTATTATCTAATCATTTTTTTAGCAAACGAAATTTTCTGAAATTGAAATGGATTGTATGACTAGACTTAGATCTAGAATCTGCTACTTAAATTAAATTGTAAAAACTTTATACAAGCATGTAGTTGATATTATTGTAGTAGAAGGCTTTAATAAATTACTAAGGCCTACCTACTTTGTTGTCTTTTTACAGCAATATGTATCTGATACTGGACTGAGTTTAATTAAATTCAAATTCATATCTAGTAATTGGTCTACTAAGTTTTTGTAGCCTAGTAGTACAATCTAGATCATACCAGCCAACAACAAATAACCACATTATTATTATTTGGTTAATGATTAGGCTAATTTTTTTTAAAAATCCACTGTTTATAAAAGAAACAAATCAAGCTAGAAACATTATAAGTGAGATGGTTTAGAATAATAACAATGGACCCAGTCTACAATTGATACAATTGCAGGTCTACATAGGGCCTACAGTCTAGTAGTTTACAGTAGGCACCTAGTGTGTAGCTAGTATACTAGTGTGTAGCTGTCCAGGGTTAAGATTCTTAATGCCTTAATGCTTTCCCCTGATAAGCCGTGTGTGCTATAAATGACATAACATGACACCGAGGTGAGAAGTGTTGAGGGGAGAGCAGTGGGACTTTCCCCTTTGTTCTCCCTGCTGGGCCCTGAGGGTCAAAATTATATAAGAAATACTATCTCTGTGGGGCTGGGTATCACGGAGGTGAGACATTTTCAGGGGAGGGCAGGGCAGACTCCTCTTAGGTTTTATTGTGGTCTAGATACAGGTGGGGGCAGCCATCATGAGGGTTGAACGTCAGTATTAATGTGTCTGATTACTTCCCTGCTGGATTATAAGGGTCTTAAATTGTATAACATGCTACCCAGATTGGTTATTACCCATGGATTATATTAGCCGTTGTAGTGTGGGTTTTGTAGGAGTTAAGTGGTCTCACGTTTGCTACAGTAGATAACCTATAATATATTACTGCATTTGATCAGCTTCGTCTACTTAAACTCTAAACGCAAACGGTATTACTAACAGTATTTTTATTTACAAATTTCGGCCACATATTTATATTATCCACGAAACTGTCAATAACAGTATAAGGATCTTCAATTCCTAAGAGTTCAAGTTTTTTAACATATTTTTCCTTTTCCGCGGGCACGATTCTTTACATACAGTACAGTGAACACGTTCAGCGCTGGTGAACACGTCCAGCGCTGGCGAACAGCTGATTGTGTTTACGTCTGATGTACACCACTGTGGCGGCGGGCGTAGGTATCACGTGATTTAGGTCACGTGTTTGCAAGGACTCTATATATATATATGTATATATATATATATATATATATATATATATATATATATATATATATATATATATATATATATATATATATATATATATATATATATATATATACATATGTATATACATATATATACATATATATAGCCTCTATGTATAGTCTATGGTTAAGGTTAGCATAAGATTATCCCTTTTTTATTTGGGACTCGATGAAAAATATTATGTTTTAGAGATGTATGAATATATATCTTTATTTTTGATTTTGCATGTTTTGTAGGTGAATATAATTGATACTCTTTGTCAACAGAGCAGCGGATCTGATCAAAACACTGGCAGCCCTATGTAGCATGACATCCCTGTGGTCTAAACTTTCCAAATCTAAACAAACGCTACACAAAATATGTCAGGAGGTCTTCACGAAAGCCAACGAACAATTGAAGGACCAACATCCGGACGTTCACGAGGCACTGACCGTCCATACTTTAATGGTCATTAGGGAGATGTTGAAAAACCTCGGGGAGAAGGAAATCGCCGTGAGTTCATTATGTAGAATCTTAAATAACTTTTGGGCATATTTTAGTTCAATCTTTTTCAAAGGCTTTTATTTAGCTTGCTCATTATTTGTTTATGTGACTCCTCAAATCATTGAATATTAACTATCATATTTGAACAAAGATCGTATGTTATACAACGAAAACCTTTCAACCGTGAAGGTAATGTATTTTCTGTAAGTGAGTGCCCAGTGATTTTTTGTGGCGGTACGCACCAGTAAGGCGTACTGGCACCTTTTTCTATGTGGGGAAAAATTATTACTTTTTATTAACTTTTATTATTAATCTAATATATTGCCAAACCGAAAAGTCTCGAGTTCGAACCCTCTGGCAGATAAGGCTCGTTAGCAGAGGACAGCCACTCTTCTAGGAGAGACAACTCCAAAATCAAACAACTGCTGCCTTGTAGTTTGTTCTTGGTTGGACAAAGGTTATGGAAGTAAATTAAAAAAAAGAAAAGCAGGCTGAAATCGGAGTCAATGGCCTCAATTGCGCATAACCAGTTGACACGTTTCCTTAATTGCGATGCAGGTGTAGTCGAGTTGACAAAAAGCTCATGGTTGATAAATTCGAAAAAAGTCTCGAAGAAGAATGAAGAATCCTTTATAATATAATTATAAAAAAAATTGTTTTAGACATTTAGTATCTTTTCAGTTGTGGTTTAAATTGCAACGAGGGGTGAATGTGTAGTTAAAATTTGGCACTCTATTACTGAGTAAAGGAAAATATTTTTTTACACAAAAAATGCACTGGTTATAACAACATGTAGCTTTAGTAAGGCAACACCAAAATAAAATATATATTTTTTTTACTTTTGAGTACATTTTTTTTCATTAGGGATTTTTTTTTGTTGTGATTCGTGAATTTAATAAAAGCCTTTTTCCTTAAACAATATATTTGTATGTGAGATTTATTTATTTTACGTTAATTCAAAATCGACTACCATGTAATACATATAGGCTATTGTTTATGAATGTGCATTTTGTTCGGTTACCACATTACGACAACCTTGATAATTTCAAGTGATGTAGGAAAATATATTAAACCTAAACAAGTTTATTGATGGTATGTTTGTAAAATATTCTCTACAGAACTACACAAGCAAAATTAATGCATGTGCAAGCGACAGCAATGAAAAGATTAAAAAAGTAGCCAAAGACGTTTTATGGCAGTTGAATAAAAAAAGTAAGAACATTTTTCTAATTACTTTTGTAATTTACTTAATTGATATCGTCATAGAGAAATTAACATTGAACAGCCAGTCGTTAGATAGTCTTGAATTTTCTTATCGAAATCATTTTATCAATTTTAATTACTTAATTTTCTTCCGTCTATCTTAGATACAAATTCATTTGAAGGCGATGAAAATGTACCAAGATTCAGTAAGTTTTAATTAACTTATGTATTTTGTTTTGCTGTTAAAACATTCTGTATCTTTTCCAAACCATTTCTACAAAGAAAACAAAATTCATAAAGATATAGTGATACTATATTTCTTACACTAAAAATAAATTTACGTATAAAATAGCTTCAAACCTAAGATCAAATGTATGTATTTTTAATTAAATATTTTCCTTAATTATTGAAACGTTTTTTACTTCAGATAGCCTACGAAAGAGACATCAGCGTAGAAACTTGCATGTGATGATCAGCTACTGCCACGCTGAGGCTGACTTTGCCAAGAAGGTAATGTGTTGGTTTGATTCATCGCAATGGTAGTTGAACTGTTGACATAATCCAAATGGTAACGTTAAGGTAGAAGCTGATTTAATGGTTACTCTGAAACTGTCACATACACAGTTTAAATTAGGAAATGTAATTCCGACTTAATACGTTAAGAAAGTTTCATTGTTATAGCATGTTAAAATGTGTCTGCTTATCCAGCTGAATAAGAAATTAAATGAATATGGCATCAAGACGTGGATAGATGAGAAAGACATCAGGAAACAAGGGTACTCAACTCTTGACGCTATGGCTGAAGCGGTAGAGAACTCTGCTGTTGTACTCGTTTGTTGCTCCAGGAATTATCTGCAAAGTAGAAGTTGTCAGATGGGTAGGGACATCATTTTTAGTTTTAATATAAATTTATTTAAGGGGGAAGGCTCCGTTAAAAAAAACGTTTTTAATACTCGTTAGAAAACAGTTATTTATTTACAGATTTATTAAGATACATCCGCATATGCTTTTCCACTAAAAAAAATTTTGAAAAAATCTTGGTAACTATGACAACGGCGGCTATCTTGAAAAATTAACCCCTTCGTAGGTTTTCCACCATTCACAAAATATTACATTTTAAGCCCAATAAACAATCAATTCATAATCTTCTTCCATATTTTGGGGCAATCAGCTAAAAATTTTAAGTGTATGTCTTCAAACTAATTTTTTATAAATTTTCAAAATTTGTGTCCGCTCAAAACACTAGTTTTAATGCCCCAAAATTCCCCAAAGTTAAGTGTTTTGAACGGACACAAATTTTGAAAATTCATAAAAAATTAGTTTGAAGATATGCACTTAAAATTTTTAGCTGATTGCCCCAAAATATGGAAGAAGATTATGAATTGATTGTTTATTGGGCTTAAAATGTAATATTTTATGAATGGTGGAAAACCTACGAAGGGGTTAATTTTTCAAGATGGCCGCCATTGTCATAGTTACCAAGATTTTTCCACCAATTTTTTTTAGCGGAAATAACTGTTTTCTAACGAGTATTAAAAAAGTTTTTTTTTTACCGGAGCCTTCCCCCTTAAAACTTCTAATTTTCTTAATAATTGAAAAAAACACATACTTCCACTAAAACATAATTCTTTAATATGAAACCCATTATGATGCAAACATTAATACATTGACGTTTACAGAGGCCGAGTACGCTCATACCCAACACATACCACTCAAGTTCCTGATGGTCCAAGAAGGTTACATGACTCCCACAGGATGGCTGGGGATTTTGCTGCGGGCTCACATGTACTACAATTTTACTCGTAAGTTAAGTTACAGTTTTTACAAAACTATAATACAATGTTTTATAACTCTTGTTTATGTAAGAGGCGTCACGACAATTATGTAACGCACTTCCCACCCAATCTCCCCACACCATCTTACTATACACGGCAAAATGTATTTATATAATCTAGATCAGTAGTTGGTATGTTAAAAATTTATAAGAATTTATTAAAAAACAAAAAAAAAAATAACAAGAAATTCGATCTGCGCAGTAAATCACGTTTTCAAAAATTCTAAATTTAAAAAAAAGAAACAAAAAAACTACGTATTTTTGCGTTTATTGAAAGCACAATAGCAAAAGTCGTGTTTTAGACCCGTAGTGCAATAAAATGTGCAAATATTCGAATTGTAATGTTTTAATATTATTTGAATGGAATTTGTTTCTAGTTCCCCCCAATTTTGATGAGACTTTCGCAACGTTGGTGGAAAAGATCAAGAAAGAATGCAAGGACAATCCAATGGTAACGTCATACTTTTAGCTACATTTGGAACGTAAACGACACAGAAAATTGTGCAAAACATATTACACAATTTACTGCATTTATACATTATTTGCTCGTATAGATCTTCAATATATAAATACTAAGAGTTGTAGCACATCTGCAAATTAAAATATTTAAATTTTACTTTAAAATTATTAGCAGTTAAATGTGATAATGTTACTAAGCGGTGTCTCATAGAAATGGACCAGAACATCTTGTAGCAGTTTTAGCATACATTTTTAAAAAATAATTGAAAGGTCAACTGGTACAGTCAATGAGCATGTCGCCCCAACTCCCCCCCTCCCTCCCTTCTCACTTCAAATATTTTACATTTTATGTTTGGTTTCACTGGCTACAAATTGTAGTGACAGTTAGTTTAAGGATTTTTCCTTATGTTTTTGTCACCCCTCAAATGGTGCCGGCCGTAGCACCCGCCATCATTGTAACACTTATGGCTTGATTTGATCCTGTTCTGGTCAAGTACCAATAGAAAAATATCGCAGTTGAAAGAAGAGCTGATTTAACCGAGAAAATCCCTCCATAATATAATTTAAACAATGAAATACTTTACGTGCCTATAGCATATTGTTTCGTTCGTTCAGCCGTTATAATTTTTTTCTGCAATGAATTTCTTGTACTAAGATCACAACGAATATGTACTTAGGTAAGTTAATCAAGTAATTTGTTTTCAGTAGCTTAGCATGATAGAGTTACCGACAAAAAAACTTTAACCTTTTATTTAAACATTATCTGCATTGTAAAACTGGTATTTTCTTATTTTTAAATATTTTCAAATGTGGATTGATTTACCCCATTTTCTAAACTAGGAATATACACACATTAATTGGCATATTAATCGCTTGCAATTCGATGCTAGTAAAACATCCGGCTATGTGATTTACTATCATTTCATATTTTATTATGTATGATTGTGTGTATATAAGCATAATGTCTTCATTTAAATATTTTTAAAAGTGTTTAAAAAAAAACAATAATTGTATTAAGTATATTTATTTTTGAAAATACAGTCCACAGACTCATGCATACAAAAAAAAAATTAAATGACCACTTTTCAACAGCATTACAATTGAAGAAAAAAAGTTCAATCTTTTTACTGTCAGAATTGCCGAAAGTAAGGAGGATATCAGGAGAAAGTTATCAATGGAACAAGGCACGCATCCCCAATCCTTTCTCACGACAGGCTCTTACTTATTTGACTGCTAGACTGGAACAAGAATAAGATTCAACAAGCGCGCGATTCATTATCTGCTATGGAACGAGAGACTAAATTTATAAACAAAAGCATCCTCCATAGACATTGTAACCAACAATTGAGATGATTTTGTATTTTTTATTGTTTCACATAAACATTTAGGAAGGAATTGGCAATCCAAATTTTCAGGCATATCAAGATTGGCAAGGAGTCGAAAACACACTGGGTACTACAAGAATATTTTTGAGTAAAACGTAAAGCTAATATTTTGACTTGTAGATCAACAGGCAACATGTTGATCAAATGTTGATCTGGGATTTTACGTGGTTGGTGTGGTCAGTTGTATCCTCATCTACTGTTGCTTGCTCAAACTGTTGCACCTGGTGGATCCAGGCACGTCTTTTGGACCTGAGTCCGTGATAATAATTCAAGATTTGTGATAGAGCTGTCGTGCACTATACGTTTTGAATTGCGTTAAGTTGAATACATATCAGCTTACAGTGTCAACAGATAATTTGGCTTGTTAAAGTATTTTCTTCTCAGCGTTTTTTTAAAGAAATGTTGAATTACCAATATGTATAGCTACTTAAAAAAATAAAACACTGAGTAGTCTAGACGGACGTGTGTAAAGTTAATTTTAAATTGCAATAACAGAAATGTAAATGTTATGTATATGATGAGTGATAATTATGTAACAAGACATATTGCCTAAATAAATTATTACTAATATTATACGGATTTTAAAGAAAACATTTTGTGGAACATTATAGCATGTTTATAAACGTGTTCTTCTTTTTATTATCTTACATATTTGGTATCTGAACTCAAGTGATTTTAAATAAATTAAATTGATTAAAGTTTTTTTGTCGGTACGTTTTATATCAGTAATGTAAATGTTTTGAACTTACGATCTAACTAAAGATTGTAAGATAAATAGTTAATATGCTCGTTATCTAAAATTATGATCCATATTTTTATTTTTCCTTATTTTTCATTTCCATAACCATGAACGTTCCATTATATTGTTGTCATGTAGTGCATCGTGCCACGACCAGCTACGGTAGAAGCGCCAACACCTTTGATCAACCAACAGCTGGTAAACCTACCTGAATATCTTTGACATAATTAACATACCATAAATTATACATGAAAAACATGCTTATCAATAACTGTCACTAAAGCAGAAGACAAGCCTTTAATTTACAGTTTCTTTGTATGGGGTATACAATGTTTTTAAATAATCTTTAAAAGTTCTCAATACAATATTTAACCCATGCTTGTCTTTAGTATCAGGAATAATTTTAAAAAATGTAAGCTATTACATTGTAGCAAGACCAAAGAGAGAGAAAATGGGTTCCAGTAATATATGATAAATAAATACCTGAAGTAAATAAACTTGGTCTACTTAAATTATATATGAAAAAGGTGGCGTTATTAATATGTATAGGTTTTTAATAATAACTCTTTTATTTATTATTATTCAATTTGAGTTGATATAAACAACTGTTAAGCATTCCATGTTAAGCATATAATTAAAACAAAAGACATTCATCCAATAAAAGATAACAGAAAAAACGTATTTTCAGGACCGCTACTCTGTTCGCTCCCCTTCACCAGACAGTACTAGATCATTACATGAGGAAGGTACACAAACCATAGTGTACACAGAATTAGAGGTGATTGTCTCATCCTGTCAATATAACCAATCAAACAGAGCATAATTAATGTCGTTAATACCAAATTATAATTAATTTTTATTTGAGATATGTTTTGATGTTTTATGTATACGTATTAATGAAAAAAAATACTTTAAGAAGATTTTATTTCGTGGAATATTATAGCCTTATTTTTATGACTGTTAAATATAATCTTAATATACATATAAAATAATTATTTGTCTGGTTTATTTTTCATAGAACAATTACTATTATTACATTAATTTATTGCAAATTATTCTTCTATATAAATCGAGGATAAGAACGTGGAGACACAGACCGAAGATAAAAAATTGGAAGAAAAAGTCAAGAAAGTAAAGGTTAATATTTAATAAAACATGAATAATGCAATTTTATTTTAAAATTTTGTTTCATTAATGATTCTGTTAGTTAAAGCATATACTACACATAATAAAATGAATAAGCATTTAGTTATTTCTTTTTAATAGAATACAAAGAAAACATTTCTTAACTCAATAATGTTGTATATAATAAATTTTTTTTTCTGCTAATCAGATTACAACCAAAGAGACCCGTCCAGCTAAACCAATAACAGCAATATCTCTGTATAAGGAACTGAAACCAAACGACACTATATTGTGCGTAGCTGTTGTCGGATCTTCATTTTTTTCTTCTTTTAGATATATCGTATAAATTGCTAATCGTAGGAACAGTAGACACTTTCTTAAACAAAAGCATAATTTTCCTAAACCTAATTTGCAAAACATAAAATTACTGCTACTAAATGTAAATGCTGATTAAAAGTCGTCTATAACGTTTAAATTTTCCTCGTTTTTTTTTAAATAAAATAAAAATTACGGAACATTTTCTCCATGTAAGCTTTGAATATTGCTCCCCTAACACATCGTGTTCGCATCTCTTCTTTTTAAATTCCATTCACACCTTGACTTTACTTGCTCTTTTTTCAATTCCGATCAAGTAACAGTTACGATGAAAAGTCTGTATGATGTAAACATATATTATTGATTTGTGAAATGAATATTTGCTCTTACTTGTTCCACAGGCCAATAAATAAACATAAAATGACTGAGGAATACAGCCGAATTTTAACACAGGTTAAATCAAGCGTAAGTTATTTAGATTTTGCTAACGTGAATGATTTGTACAGGTCTGATTTCAGTTCATTATAATAGTCATTTCATAAAGTTTTACTATTGGTAGAGTTTCGTTCTTTGCCCCGATGTTCCCGCGAAAAACATCTACCGCCACCCCCCCCCCCCCCCCCCCCCCCGAACGACATAGAATGTTTGTAGAAAATATATAATTTTACTAGTATCGTGCCCCCAACGGAAAATTTAGTCAGCCCACCTCCCCCACCCGAAATGTTGAATTGTCCTCCTACCTCACAACATTTGGTCATGCCACCTACCAACACTGTCATCACTGACATGGTTAAACCTGCCATAAGTGATCATGTTTAACTTAGTGATCATGTTTAACTTAGTGATCATGTTTAACTTAGTGATTATGTTTAACTTAGTGATCATGTTTTACTTAGTGATCAGGTTTAACTTAGTGATCATGTTTAACTTAGTGATCATGTTTAACTTAGTGATTATGTTTAAATTGGTGATCATGTTTAACTTAGTGATCATGTTTAACTTAGTGATCATGTTTAACTTAGTGATAATGTTTAACTTAGTGATCATGTTTAACTTAGTGATCATGTTTAACTTAGTGATCATGTTTAACTTAGTGATCATGTTTAACTTAGTGATTATGTTTAACTTAGTGATCATGTTTTACTTAGTGATCAGGTTTAACTTAGTGATCATGTTTAACTTAGTGATCATGTTTAACTTAGTGATTATGTTTAAATTGGTGATCATGTTTAACTTAGTGATCATGTTTAACTTAGTGATCATGTTTAACTTAGTGATCATGTTTAACTTAGTGATCATGTTTAACTTAGTGATCATGTTTAACTTAGTGATTATGTTTAAATTGGTGATCATGTTTAACTTAGTGATCATGTTTAACTTAGTGATCATGTTTAACTTAGTGATCATGTTTAACTTAGTGATCATGTTTAACTTAGTGATCATAGTTAACTTAGTGATCATGTTTAACTTAGTGATCATGTTTAACTTAGTGATCATGTTTAACTTAGTGATCATGTTTAACTTAGTGATCATGTTTAACTTAGTGATCATGTTTAACTTAGTGATCATGTTTAACGTAGTGATCATGTTTAACTTAGTGATCATGTTTAACTTAGTGATCATGTTTAACTTAGTGATCATGTTTAACTTAGTGATCATAGTTAACTTAGTGATCATGTTTAACTTAGTGATCATGTTTAACTTAGTGATCATGTTTAACTTAGTGATCATAGTTAACTTAGTGATCATGTTTAACTTAGTGATCATGTTTAACTTAGTGATCATGTTTAACTTAGTGATCATGTTTGACTTAGTGATCATGTTTAACTTAGTGATCATGTTGAACTTAGTGATCATGTTTAACGTAGTGATCATGTTTAACTTAGTTATCATGTTTAACTCAGTGATCATGTTTAACTTAGTGATCAGGTTTAACTTAGTGATCATAGTTAACTTAGTGATCATGTTTAACTTAGTGATCATAGTTAACTTAGTGATCATGTTTAACTTAGTGATCATGTTTAACTTAGTGATCATGTTTAACTTAGTGATCATGTTTAACTTAGTGATCATGTTTAACTTAGTGATCATGTTTAACTTAGTGATCATGTTTAACTTAGTGATCATGTTTAACTTAGTGATCATGTTTAACTTAGTGATCTTGTTCAACTTAGCCGTGGCCTAGGGGTAAAGCGCTAGACTGCTAACCATAGAGTCTCGAGTTTAAATTTGGGTTTAAGTTAGTAGAACTTCCCCGAGTTCACCCAGCTCTGATGGGTACCTAACTCATGTCAGGGAAAGCAAAGGTGGCTGTCTATACTGCTGACCACATTATCCATTGTATACCGAAGTAATTGTGACTGATGAACCCTACTTCGTTTCCTCCTCTGCCTTGGGTACTAAAATTGAGAAGATAATGAAATACCATTTTAGGTTAATTAACAGTATCAGTACACTATACATGCGGCAAATCACATTCTTTATTCAAAATTTCACATATTGTATACAATTGTATATATATAACAATGGATTATATTGATATATCTTTATTTTGTATGTGTATGTACTTGCCTCAAATACTGGTATGTATTACTTGATTTGAGATGCACTTTTACACTCTACATGATATATAATGTCAAAATCTTCCATCTAGACTTTTAGAGTGAATTAACACATAAAAAATGATACGTGTATCAACAGTAACGTTGAAATTAACTATCTTCCACGCAGAACCTGGGCTTTAAGTACACGATGAAAACCTCCGGCCAGGTGTCCAACAACAGGGTCAAGCTCCAGGACACGCTGACCATCACGATGGACGCCCCACCCTGCTGCCAGCACAAGGGCTACAACCACGCATGCGCCAAGTGTGCCGAGCTCAACAAGCGGTTCCAGGCCATACACGGCGCCTACTGCAACAAAGTCTGTACCCACTTCCAGTCCTTGATGCTATTTTTAGATCTTATCGTGTATGCTTATTCTAGTACAATAAAAATAAATGATAATAAACGTTTCTGAGTTTTTTCTTTCATATTTATTTTTAACTGCACACTTCACTTATAATACTATTGGCAATTATTATTTTATTTAAAAGAAAATCGAAATCTACGAAAGAAAATTAATCTTTGTGATTAAACAGGTTTTTTTTACCTGCTAGATGAAATACTAATTTTAACATCGGAAATTACTTGAGTGAGTCAGCAAGTATTTTGTAAGCCATTCGAATGTCGTACAAAATACATGCTGACTTACAACAGTCTTTACCATATTGTTATTAAAATACATTTCTATTTGTTTTTCATTACAATGAATTGTAACGCTAACTGTACATTATTTAAACACGTACAATAAAATGAGGAAATAAATCAAATATTATTCCAATATATTCGACGTTGTGAAATATTGCGACAAACCTTTTCTATATTTTGCCGGTTTAACTTTTGAAAACAAGTGTTCTAAATGTTTACATTGTTTTTTCTAATCATCAGAGTTCAGGAGCAACAAAATGAGCCAAGGATATGGGTGCATCAGATGGGTGTTATCACAGATAAAACGGTTGTTAAAACAGATTGTCATTCTTATTTTGTTTTAGAAATCTTTTTGTAACTAGCAACTAAAATAAACATATAAAATAAACATAATAAACATAAATAAACATAAAAAATAAAAAATAAACATAAACAAATAAAATAAACATGTTGATATCGTTACTAAATGTAATTTAAATTTTAGTAAGGTATATAAACTAGTATTAATTTTATACCCTTCAAGAATGTATAGAATAATAAAAGAAAACAATAATGTATATACTAATTAATGAAAGTAATAGAAAAATTAACGATCACATTCATCCTAATTTTTATTGAAATGTATACTATTCAATATTTAAAGTTTGAATATTTTTGAAACAATAGTATCTGTAAAAGTTCAAGTAGTTACATAATCAAGTGATGTATAACGGATTAGAGAAGTACATTTTATAACTTTTTATATATTAAGATTTTTCCATTACGAAAAACAACTATATTTACGGTATTACTTTTAGTGAAAAAGATAAATGAATTGTCGAATGAGTTAAATGTATAAGAAATACCATTTTTGCTTTATTAAACTTGTTTCATGAATGTGATTATGTATTTTTCAGTCTAAACTGTAGTGTATTACATTGAAACTATATATTTTAAATAATATATTTGTTTTGATGTGTTAATATCTAATTAAAATATTATTACTGTTTGTAAAAATCATGTACATAGTAAATAAAAAATACAATATTTTATTATGTCATCTCTTTATTTAAAGGTGCCACTGGACTAAGATGACGGTAATGGATGATTACATATTTTAATAAAGTTTCAAGATTTCTTACTTGAAACCATTTCACAATATAAATAATATATATATATATATATATATATATATATATATATATATATATATATATATATATATCTGTGTGTGTGTGTGTGTGTTTGTGTGTAAGACCCGTTTATTTAGTTTGTTTCACTACATTTACAAACCCATTCGCTTATAAGAATCTAAATGAAACTTCAAATAAAGCTAACCGCTTATTATTTCAGAGAATCCTTAAAAAATGTAACACTTAATCAATACCAAATTCTGCCATTTCATACGCCTGCAGAGATCTGCGCTTTTAATTTCAAAGTTGAGAAACCAAACCGCGGCTGCATGGTTTATGCTGCGATTTGACATTGGACTAAAATTAAAGTATTAGAAATAGCATTAAGCCTTCAAGAGGTGCATAAGATTTATTTGTAAAGACATAAAAGTATCACGTAAACACACAAGGTGTCTGATATACGTCAACACACAAGGTGTCTGATATAAGTGAACACACAATGTGTCTGATATAAGTGAACACTGTACTGTGCAGACCGCCACAAGTCGATTATATAACTACTAACACAACTGATAAGAAGACACGGGGGGGAGGGGTGCCTCAGGACAGGATAACAAGGTGACAATTTAAACTAGTATTTAACATGGTAGACTTTAATGCTGATGACCGTAGTTGTATACATTCAGTTCCCATTTATAATGTGTTTCTTATTTGAACAACTGTCCAAATCAATGGGACTATCGTTTCAATAACCAGCGGTACTGCCTATATACCGTGTAAATACTGTTTTGAGTGCTAGTTGGTAAAACTTCTCTTTGTGTACTTACATTCATCAAATATTGTTATGGAAGAGTTTTATGCTTACGTAGATTCTACCGATTGCATATCAGCATGATTATCAAGTTAGAATTTTTAATGTGTAGTCTACTATTTGTTTTTTAACCGGTGGATTTATGAAACAATTTCCCATTTATTAGCTTAATATTTGGACTATACACAAGGAACATTCTTTTTTTTTAAAATTGGAGTACGTAACGAGCAATGACTGTAGTAGTAAAATTTTAATTGAGAAAGGTATGTGGATTTGAAGTTAAAAAGAATAGTTCAAAATAATTAATAGCGCTTTTTTTTTTAGAAATGTGTTTTAGTTGAATTGTGTATGTTTTAAATAAATATAATATAGAAAAAGTAAAACAAGTAGGCCTAAGTAGACCTATACTTTAGTTAAAAAAAAAAAAAAAATACTATTCTATTGTTTTTTTATATAATTTTTTAAGCAAAGCTTTATTTTAAATTATCTGAAATGAATTGAATTAAAAAAAAATAAAAAAATTAAAATTAAAGTTTATCTAGACTACTTTTTTATGCTCGAAATCTAAAAGAAAAAAAAAAAAACATTTCATCAAAGTTTCAAAGTTGTGGGTAATGCTAATCATAGTACTTGGCTTTAAATTAAAGTTAGAGACAGAACAACACCTGGGTTCTTTTCAGTTTTTTTTTTATTATCGTTGTCTTAGATATTAATCACATAAATATTTTAAATGTTATTGATAGTTACGTGCAAACTTTGAAACATGTTCATCAATAACAAATCAAAGAAACTTATCATGATGGTTTAATTTCATCTAAACGTTTTAAAAAAATATATATATTTCTAGCAACGCTTATGCATCTAATTTAACATCTGAAGTCACAATTAAACAATGGGGACTGGAGCCAGTATGGTTGATAAAGCTGGTGAGTAGTTAAACAAACATTGTGTAAACTAACAGAAATGTTGCTAAACATAAATTAAATCTTATATTTTAAATGTATGTAACTAAATATCAATTTAAAAAAAAACGCATTCTATTTAGATTTTTTTCCCATAAAATCTTTATTCCAAAAATGTAATGATATATTTACTTTGATCTTTAGAAAGAATTCATCAGTTCGAAGATCTAGAAGATCGAATTCAAGATCTCAAACTCCCAAAGTCGAGCGAAGAAAAACTTCTACCCTTGATTCGGTACAACACGGAACATTTTTATTTCTTCAAACTTGCAGTACAAAGCGTGTTCCTCTTACACACCAACAGTTACATGCGATGCAACGAAGTTCTGACACACCTTTACAACTGGTCACTGTACGAAATTTCAAAGTCTGACGAGGTCGCTTCTTTGTTTGAAGAATTTCTCAGCGAGATCTCCTTCTGTAATGTCGGATTCAAGAAATACAAAAGTCTGCTACAGACTTTTAAAATTAAAAGTTTCGGAGAGGCTAAGAAGATTGAACTCCCAGAAGACAATAAAAAAGTTGTGCCTGCGGAGGTACTAGAAGTTGTTCTCAATCTCCGGCGTATTTGGCTGTTGTTTTCTAGACCAGGCAAGAAGTTCGCCAAGCAGCTGGCGTCGTTTGGTGTGGTGTATGAGCTAGCTATGGAGATTCGCAAGATGCAGGCTAATGACGAGAACCTTACAGAGGTAAGTCAACCTTTGTCTACTATAAATATAGTTTGTATGCGCTGAGTTTATCCAGTTCCAATAAATAACTGACTGACATAAGGGAATGTTAATTATATATTCTCTTGACTCTGCTCAAAAATATATAATCTCTATGTAGTCTAGCTTAACATTTTCTACGCCTATTTAAAAGACAAAATGGCAGTTAAATTATTTAATTTCTAAAAGTAAAATTTAAGTTTTCGGTACCACATAGTTAAAACATCAAGCTATCAAATCTATTTATACATTTTTATTTTGATAATGAGAACAGGAGGACTACGCCGCGACAGAAACAGCTTTTGGAATTATCCTGAACATCGCCAAGATGAAGGAGAAACCTATAGCCATGAAGGACTCCAAGCTGTTGAACGCGTTAGACAAAATTGTTGGCAATCAGAGCGGTTACAGTAAGTTACATGCAGAGTCCTCGTCCTTACTTTTGTTATTTTGACCTACTATGTGTAACTATGTGTAAACAGTGTTCTATTTATAGATGGGTCCTTGGTAACAAGGCACATTTTTCTTTTCATAGACGTTCATAGAGCGAAATAATTCAATCATTGTTAAATCGAAATATACCAATAAATGGCATTTCAAGGCGTCATTCATTGGTTAGTAAGGTTCAGCGATGATTTACTCTGTGGACTACAAGCACGTTCACTTCGCCCAAACTTCACCTACATTACGCCCAATTGCGATAAGATCTCAATTAGGCGAAGTAAAGATCATTTTGTTGAAATTTTAAAATACAAATCAAGCCAGCCCAAGTACTGTTATACGGTAGTAGCTTCAATTCCACAGAGGTAAATAAATTGTTGAGTGGTTAGTGAACAGACTTTACAATAGAGGTATAACATAGTTTAAGAAAAAGAAATGGCTTTATACGATTTCAATGCAGGCTATTACCTATGTTGTTCAATATCTACTTTAATCTTAAGTTGATTTAATTGGACTATGGGATTTACTAGGATTGAATAGATCAAAATGTCTCGCTTTAAAACTATTTTTATTCAAAACTTCTAGTGTATGAAACGGTTTAAATATATTCCTCTAAGTTATAATGATTTTAAGCTACATAATAAGTATTTTATGCAACTTAAATTTAATTGTAAAATTAATCATTTCCTATATCATGGCTTTTTTTTGTGAGGCAGTAACTCTATTCCACCCACACACCATACACACAAATCCCTTACAGTCTAGCATTGTTTTGCCGGCAGTTTGTTTCTAGCTTAAAAAATTGCTTCATTAAGACATACCCCATGGGGACCTCGCTAGCAGAAGCTAATAGTGCGATAAGGTGGCAGTCTTTGTTTACATTAGACCAGGGGTCTCAAAACTTTTCAGTCCGACGGGCGCATTAAATATCTAATTTTAGTTCGGGGGCCAGTTTTTTCCATGCATGTCTTTGATTTATCTTGGTAAAGTTGCTCAGCCATCACCAACAAACGTTTTTTCTGTGGACAAAAAGATCCCCGCCGGATGCGGGCCGTAGTTTGGAGACCCCTGCGTTAGACAATAAAACTGCAGTAGGGCATTACCCCCCTGTCGATTCCGAATTAAAACCAAGTGTTAAAGGCACACATACACACACACACACAAACACACACACACACACAACACACACACACACACACACATATATATATATATATATATATATATATATATATATATATATATATATATATATATATATATATATATATATATATATATATATATATATATATATATATATATATCCTTACAATTTAATTTTTCCCCCAACAGTCCTGAACGTCATGGCCCTAGTTATCCTTGTACT